TTTTGCATGCAAATGGATGGAAATAGAAAACACTATCCTGAGTGAGGTAAGCCAGACCCAAAAAGAGGAACATGGGATGTACTCACTCATATTTGGTTTCTAGCCATAAATAAAGGACATTGAGCCTACAATTCGTGATTTTAGAGAAGCTAAATAAGAAGGTGAACCCAAAGAAAAACATATAGGCATCCTCCTGAATATTAAACTTCAGCAGGAGATGAAAGGAGACATTGGAACACCGGACAGAAATCTCAAGGTCCAAATCAGGAGCAGAAGGAGAGAGAGCATGAGCATGGAACTCAGGACTTCGAGGGGTGTACCCACATACTGAGACAACGGGGAGGTTCTATTGGGAACTCACCATGGCCAGCTGGCCTGGGTCTGAAAAAGCCTTGGATAAAACTGGACTTGCTGAACATAGCGAACAATGAGGACTACTGAGAACTCAAGAACAATGGCAATGGGTTTTTGATCCTACTGCACATACTGGCTTTGTGGGAGCCTAGGCAGTTTGGATGCTCACCTTACTAGACCTGGATGAAGATGGGTGGTCCTTGGACTCCCCACAGAGCAGGGAACCCTGATTGCTCTTTGGGCTGATGAGGGAGGGGGACTTGATTGGTGGAGGGGGAGTGAAATGGGAGGCGGTGGCAGTGAGGAGGCAGAAATCTTTATTAAATAAATAAATAAAAAAGAGGGAAAATTGAATGGAATAAACGGCAGCTTACTTACTCATGGTAATAATAATAGTAAGTAATAGAATGAATATATGTGAGCTATTATTTATGGATAATTTACATTGGTATAGACTTTTGTATATTGATACAAATTGAAATTAGACTTATTATATAGAATATGTGCCTATTTTTGTTTAAAATATTTGTAACACCCATGATAAGTTATTTTGTCAGATTGTATAAATGCATGATTCTACCTGTTTAAAAATTGTTTATTCTTACAATTTTATGATATATTTATCATATAGCATTATATAATTCTACCTCTGATCAAGATATTTATACATTGTTTTTATTTTGAGGTCATTGTTCTGCTTTACTGCTTAGTTGCTTAAAGATTGTCTTATATTCTGATATGAAGTCTTATTCTTCAAAACTGTAATGAGAGTTTGGTTGATTGCTCAGGCAGTCAGTTGTCTCTGTCATCTACTACAACTTTTGGAAGATGCTAGACTTCACTACCTGTCTACTCAAGCAAAATTATTACTCTTCTCAGGCCTTTGATGGGGTTGAAGATTAGGTAATCATAGTTACCATCCTATTATTATCTAGCTAAGTCATTCCTACTACAAGACATAGATTCCATTGGATAGAAAGTTTATCAAAACATTAGGATGTATTCCTTCCTTAATATTGACTATTCTTGTTGTCATTCTAACTTTATCTGTTTCTTGTGTACATAGTTTTGTACTGGGCTTAGAAATTCTTATTTGAGGAAAAGGGGTAGGTGCTATGAGAACTCCTTTAGTCTATAGCCTTTAAGATACCAATCGACTTGGGCATGGTCTCTTACATAATAAATGATTCTGTAAAGTGTGTGCTTTGCTTTCTTGAATCCAGATCTTGATTCTGGCTGCTGGATTTACTATATACAAGATCCAGTGAACTGTAGATGTTCATCTGCCCAAGATATTCTTACATTCTAACTTGATATTTTCAAAAGTCAAAGATTCAATTCGTACTTGCATAGTTCAGGGCCTGTCACTCTTGACTTGTACAGCCTTCAAAATTCATCATAAAAACATGAACTCAGTGTTGAATGATCAATTTAGAATGAATGCAGATATATTAAGTAAAATCAAACATTTCTTTCTCTTTCATGTGTGTATGTTTATTTATAGATTTGGGATCATGGGGAGATATGGTACAAATCTTCATTTTTTTTTGGAACACATGTGGATTGTTTTTAATTAAATGTCATGAATCAGTCTGCCATAATAAGAGGAATTATTTTATTGAGGTACAAAATTAAGCCAAGTTCCATATTTCAGCTATTCATTTCTTACTATTACTTTGTATAATTCACCCATGAACTGTTGTGTACCAAGGATTTTTTTAACTGTTTTTTCCACTACGCTCCCTCCCTCTCCCCTCCTTCTCCCATGATCCACATGCTCCCAATTTATTAGATCTTGTCTTTCTCTATGTCCTATATAGAATAGATTTATGTATGTCTCTCTGTTTCCTCTTTGTTGTATATGTTCTCTGGCATTGTGAATAGTAGGCTGGTTGTCCTCTGTTTTATACATAAAAGCCACTTAGAAATAAGTACATATTATATTTTCTTTCTGGGTCTGGGTTATCTTGGTCTTTTATGATATTTTCTAGATCCAGAAAGTTGCACATAAATTTCAAGATGTAATTATTTTTATTCACTGTGTAGTACTCCATTGTGTAAATATGCCACAATTTTGTTGTCCATTCTTCAGTGGAGGGGATGTTTACAGGCTCTGGATGTGAACAAATAATGTTGCTGTGAACACAGTTGAGCACTTATCCTTGTAGTATATGAACATCCATTGGGAACATATCCAAAGTGGCATTGCTGGGTTTTAAGATAGGTGGTTTCCTAATTTCCTTTCTTCCTTTCTTTCTTTCTTTCTTTTTTTTTTAATTTTTGGTTTTTCAACACAGTTTCTCTGTAGATTTGGAGCCTGTCCTGGAACTAGCTCTTGTAGACCAGGATGGTCTAAAAGTTACAGAGTTCTGTCTCTGACTCTCAAGTGCAGGGATTAAGGGCATGCACCACTAACAGGCAGTTTTCTTTCTAATTTTCAGAGAAATAACCATACTGGTATCCAAAGTAACTGACTCAGTTTGCAGCCCCATCAGCAATGGAGGAGTGTTCCCTTAACCCCATATCCTTGCCAGCTTAAGTTGTCATCAGTGTTTTTGATTTTGGCTATTGCTACAGATGTAACAGAGGATCTCAGAGTTGTTTTGATTTTCATTTCTGTAATGGATAAGGAGTTTGGAAATTTCCCTAAGTGTCTTTCAGTCATTTTAGATTCATATGTTGATAGTTCTTTGTTTAGGTCTGTACTCCATTTTTAATTGAATTATTTATTCTTTGGATGACCAATTTTTAGTTCTTTGTATGTTTTGAAGATCAGTCCTCTGTCCAATGTGGGGTAGGTGAAGATCTTTTCCCATACTATAGGCTACCTTTTTGTATTGTTGAAAATGTCCTTTCATTTATAGAAACTTTTTTTCAGAAGGTCTCATTTATTATTTCTCTCAGTGTGTTTTGCTAGAGTTATAATTTGAAGGTGATATTCTTTGCCAATGTGTTCAAGTGTACTTCTGATGTTTTGTTTTATGTGGTTCAGTGTGTTTGGCTTTATGTTATGGCCTTTGATCCATTTGGACTTGAGATTTGTTCATGATGATAGATGTGAATCTACTTTCATTCTTCCCCACATTGATATTCAGTTATGCCAGAACCATTTGTTGAATACACTTTTTCCCCCATTTTATATTTTTTTGTGCTTTGTCAAAAATCAAGTGTAGTAGGTGAGTGGATTGATATCTGAGTCTTAGAATCAGTTACATTAGTCTTCCTGTCTCTTTTTGTGCCAACACAAGACTCTCTTCAGTGCTGTAGCTCTGTAGTAGACTAAAGTCAGGGAATGTGATGCCTCCAGAAATCATTTTTTATATAGGATTGTTTTGGCTATCCTGCATTGTTTTTTGCTTTTCTATATGAAGTTGAGTATTTTATTTTGAGGTGATGAAGAATTTTTCTGCTATTTACATGGGAATGGTATTGAACCTGTAGATTGCTTTTGGAAAGGTTTTCACTTTTAATTTGTTGATTTGTACCTAACTAGGTCAAGGGACATCTTCCCATTCTCTGCTGTCTTCTTCAATTTTTTTCTTCAAAGATTTAAAGTTCTTTTCCTATAGTCCTTTCACTTCTTTAGTTAGTTATTCCATAATATTTTATATTATCTGTGGCTATTGTTAAGGGTGATGTTCCCATAATATCTTAATTCTAGCCATCTTTCTTTTTCAAAATATATTCCTTGTAAACACCTTCAACTTTTCTGATGACCACTCCCAATCTTCTGATAACCATAATTATACCCCCAACTTCTAAGGGAACTTTTACACAAAACATAAAAGTAAACTTAAGAGAAATTTCACTCTTCATGCCTCTCATATTTCACATAATTATATTCTTTGGGCTTAAAAACATTGTTGAAACTTTTAGAATTTTATGCTTCTGGTTTTAGAGCCAAATTGTATTTCGTTTACTGACCCATTTTAATGTTTTGGCTGTTTTCAGTGAGATGTTGTTTCATTAACTATTTCTAGATTCAGAGACAAAGTTCTTTCCTTTGACTCTGGTTTCAGGACCAATGCTGAAATACCGTTTCTCTAACACATAATACTTCATAAAAGGTTTTATCCATTACTTTGCAGGTTAAGACTAAAATAAAAAGAGGTATCATGATGCTTAAACAAATTGTCAACACTATCAAACTTTTCTTTACACAATAACTGCTGTTGGTTAACTAAATGTAAGTGGCTTAATCTCTTGAAGAATAATTTAAAATAAGCCCCCAGTTTTTTCCTCACATCAAAAAGATTACAGAAATATGTACAAGCTTTATCAGATTGATTACACACAAAGTCTTACCCCAATATGAAGCACAAAACATTATGACACTGAATTAACTAATAGGGTTTCACTACAGTATGATTTCTTGTCATTTTTTGAAGAATACACACATTAACTTCAGAGTATCTCTAGAGGAGGGCTCAGATGATATATTTATAGATGATTATGAAAAAGGATTTACCACAGATTCCACCCACAGGTATCTCTAAAGTATGTTTTGTTTCATGCCTTTTAAGAGTACAGGGGTCTGCAAAGGCCTTACCACACTGATTTCATTCATATGGTTTCACTCCAGTATGTATTCTTTTATGTATTTGAAGATTACTGTGTTGAGCAAAGACTTTACCACACTGATTACATTCATAGGGTTTCTCTCCAGTATGTGTTCTTTTATGATTTTGAAGACCACTGTGTTGAGCAAAGGCCTTACCACACTGATTGCATTCATAGGGTTTTTCTCCAGTATGTGTTCTTTTATGCTTTTGAAGACCACTGTGTTGAGCAAAGGCCTTACCACACTGATTGCATTCATAGGGTTTTTCTCCAGTATGTGTTCTTTTATGCTTTTGAAGACCACTGTGTTGAGCAAAAGCCTTACCACACTGATTGCATTCATAGGGTTTCTCTCCTGTATGTGTTCTTTTATGTATTTGAAGATGACTGTGTCGAGCAAAGGCCTTACCACACTGAGTGCATTCATAGGGTTTCTCTCCAGTATGTGTTCTTTTATGCACTTGAAGATGACTGTAAATTGCAAAGGCCTTACCACACTGATTGCATTCATAGGGTTTCTCTCCAGTATGTGTTCTTTTATGTATTTGAAGATAACTGTGAACTACAAAGGCCTTACCACACTGATTGCATTCATAGGGTTTCTCTCCTGTATGCGCTCTTTTATGGGTTTGAAGAGTACTATGATGTGCAAAGGCCTTACCACACTGATTGCATTCATAGGGTTTCTCTCCAGTATGTGTTCTTTTATGGTTTTGAAGATCACTGTGTCGAGAAAAGGCCTTACCACACTGATCACATTCATAACGTTTCTCTCCACTATGTGTTCTTTTATGCACTTGAAGATGACTGTGAACTGCAAAGGCCTTACCACACTGATTGCATTCATAGGGTTTCTCTCCTGTATGCGCTCTTTTATGGGTTTGAAGAGTACTATGATGTGCAAAGGCCTTACCACACTGATTACATTCATAGGGTTTCTCTCCTGTATGTGTTCTTTTATGTATTTGAAGATGAATGCGTTGTGCAAAGGCCTTACCACACTGATTGCATTCATAGGGTTTCTCTCCTGTATGTGTTCTTTTATGGGTTTGAAGAGTACTGTGTTGTGAAAAGGCCTTACCACACTGATTGCATTCATAGGGTTTCTCTCCTGTATGTGTTCTTTTATGAGTTTGAAGAGTACTGTTTTTTGCAAAGGTCTTACCACACTGATTACATTCATAGGGTTTTTCTCCAGTTTGTGTTTTTTTATGTGTTTGAAGAACACTGTATTGAGCAAAGGCTTTACTAAACTGATTATATTCATAGGGTGCCTCTCTAGTATGTATTCTTTCATTCTTTTGAAGATGACTGTGATCAGCAAAGACCTTACCAAGCAGATTACATTCATATGATTTTTCTCCAGTATGTGTTCGTTTATGACTTTGATGTGTTTCATAAAGAACAAAGACTTTATCACCTTGACTATATTCATAGGGTTTCTTTCCAGTGTGTGTTCTTTTCTGCATTTGAAGATGACTGTGATAAGCAAAGGCTTTATCACATTGCTTAATTTCACAGGATTTTTCCCGGGTATGTGTTTTTTCGTTCCTTAGAAGATGAGTATTATAAGACAAGGCTTTAGCATAGTGAGAATATACTGAAAACTTCTCTTCAGTTTGATTTCTTTCAATCCTGGAAGAATAATTTACACACTTAAAAGTTTTACCACATTCAATGCACTATTCAACTTCATATCTATATGATTTAATTTCATATTTTTTTCAAATTGTAAAAAGCAATCAAATATTAAGGTTTTATAACTTTGTTTAAAATCATGTTTTGTTCTCTCATTAAGGGTCATTTTGCATCTGGAAAAATATTTGTTATGATAAATTCCTTTATGTCATGGTTTATCTTTTCATTTATACCTATACCTATATTTTTTCTAGGATATTTTTCACATTTTTGAAGAGAATTGCTTATACTGAGTGCTTTAACAACTTTACTGCATTCCTAAATTTTACTATATTGTGAATCATTATGCATTTGTTAAGTGAACTAAGACACACGGAAATATTTGCACAGACTTAGAACTCATGGATTTTTTTTTGTAATATAAGTTTGTATTTATGTATTAACAATGATGGTAGAAAATAAATTAACTTTGTATTCTTGGATCCAATTCAACATGTAGAATCTACTTGCTCTTATTGTTCTTAAGGAGAGGTATGCTAAATCTTTCTATATCCCTATGCTCATACACTTGTGTCAAGAGTGACACACACACACACACACACACACACACACACACACATATATATATATATGAAAAGAAGAATAGTGACTAAAAGATTACTACAATAAATCCCCAAGGTTTGACTTTCACAGACTTGTGGTATAGTTATTAAGGTTTCTCCACAACATATGTCCCTTGACCCTTGAGTAATCTGATTTCACTAAACTTAGCACAGTCACAAAAAGTATATGAGTGATACAAGGCTTACCATGGGCTATTGAATTAGTAGAAAGTTTTGCAGCTCTACTCATCATCACTGAAATGTGCATATATTTTATGTCATGAATAGCAAGAAACCAATGGACTGGCAGATCTACAACATAGCTCTCATTGTGCTATCAATCAAATGGTGCTATCTGTATAAACTTTGCTTCCTTGACCATTTTTAAATGAATGCCTTGAAAATGCAATCCACATACAGGAAATTGAGGTATACGGATTTGTGAGAATTTAATAATCATCAATGCATTTAAAGCTGTGTTTATTTACACTATTGCTTTTGTTTAAAAGTTCCAGAACACATTACAAACTCATCACAGGCATATTGTTATGAACTTGCACAAGAAAATTACCTTGCATGTCTTCTAGAAAATTGACAATGTTCTTTGGTGTTAAGGTCTTCCCAAATGTATCCTAAAATACAGTACCAGAATATCTATGTTATATTATTTAACATTGTGCAACAATTAGCTTATTATCTTAAGTGAATCTAAGAACTATGACTGTGTTGTTCAGCTTATTCTTCTTCTTTCTAAGACAAATTACAGAACAAAATAATTAACCAAGAAAAAGTTGTCTCCATATTTTGAAGCATGAAATAAATTCACTTTTACCTATAGTAGCTAGGCTCCTGAAGGTCTCCAACATCACATCCTTGTAGAGATTTTTCTGGGAAGGATTCAGCAAATTCCACTCTTCTTGAGTGAAGTTGATATGCACATCATCATAGGTCACTGCCTTTGAAAATATATCACACATGTGTACAATGTAAGCATAACAGTGACAACATTGTAAATGCGTACTTCTTTGAAAGTATAGTTGTATGATTCTGCTGTTCCCCATTCTTATTCCATGACATAGGTAGCCACTTTAGAAGAAAATGGAAAAGGAGAGTCAATTCTGTCATTTCTCCACACTTTTGATGGGATTTCACTTTATATGAACAGTATCTATTAACAGGGAGAGAAAAGGAAAAAAAAATCAACAGTACATCGTATGCATGAGAAAATTGTATGATACATACCACAGAAAGGAAAGAATGATGGACAAACTGGGCGTACTGATGTATTGTGGCTTTAACCACAACACTCAGAAAACAGAGGTGGATATATTTGTCTCTGAGTTGAATGCCAGTCAAGTCTATGCAATCAGGTCCAGGAGAGGTGGCAGTACACATTAAGACCCTATCTCCATTGCAAAACTCAATGAAACAAACAATAGGATAGAAAAACTGAAAGGCTATTATTGAAGTTCCTTCAAAGAGTTGTTTTCACTCCAGTTCTGTATTCATCTTCCAGACCTCTGAAGTACCCTAATATAAACTGCAATACCAATAACATTTTGTAGGAAAAGAACTGCCTATATAAAACTGTTACCAATGGACAGATGAAAACAATAGAAATATAAATGTTGGTCATAAATAATCAACACAGAGCTGGAGAGAGAGGAGAGTAATGCAGCATGCATTCTTGCTGATCTTGAATGGAGGTGGACACATTTGCCAGTACTTACATGGAGATCACAACTTTCCATTTTTCCATGGTCAGGATGTCTGAGATCCTTTGTTCACTCTGATGACCAGGTATCCATATGGTGCATATCCATGCAGACATATAAAATGGTCATATTGATTTTAAAAGAATCAAAGCAAGTACAACAAGCAGGAAAAAGTTCATGCAACTGCAATTTAATGACTCAAAATACTCAGGCAGTTTATGTTATCAATCCATGGCATCCTGGGAATCAGAGTGATACCCTCTGTCAAATTTTAAAATTCAAGATAAGCATGAAGCTAAGCACAGCAGCATACACTCGACATGAACAAAACCTACATTCCAGGGCCATCATCCAATAACATAAAAACAAATAGAGCCAGAAATGATGCCTCCCTTTACTTTCAGGAACTGAGAGCCACAGTTACTCAGATAAGCAAATAAAACAAAACAGCAGGTTACCAAAGTCCTGAACACTGAATAACAACTGTTTCTGCTATGTCTTATATGATTTAGAGATTGAGCCTATAATAATGGTAAAAGCATTTCAGTATAAGTAGGAAGTTGGCTGATTAATGTCAAACACACCACTGTAGATATAAATATCAGGAAATTACTTGAGGGTATTGAGACTCCAAGCATACAGTGAGGAATTTTATCTAGAAAGGCTTTTCCTACTAAAGATTCACAGAAAATTGAAAGAAAATCACTAAGGAGAGAAACTTGTTCAAATTCATAATGTTTTCTGGGAGGTTGGTCATTCAATCAAATACATTGTGAACCCAATCACTATTGGTTCATGGTCAACAATGGAAAAAATGCATTTAGTCATTTCAATGATTCACATTTAGTGATACTGGAAGATGGATGCTTAAAAGACATCCAGCACGAGCTCAGAATTGAGAAATAGATGTATATTTATTTAGGGATGGACTCACAACTCAGAATCCTATGCTTGAATGGAGATTAAAATCTGAATCACGTAGCCAGAAAAGAGGCCAAACTCATGCTCTGCATTGGCAAATATAGTATAATATGTCATGTCCCAATGGATGGGAAACCACTGGCTGCAAGACTTTCAACAGCACCTCCCCATTTTGTTTAAATAAGAGAGTTCTAAGACCAATACAAAATTATATACAATAAGAACAAATATTCAATAATTATCTTATCCTAACTAGTTTAATTCTTGTTTAATAAATAATTTGGACAAGTCATGAGAGGAAAGTAACCACAGCTATCTAGTCTTCAACTCCATTGAATCTGAGAAGGGAAATATTACTTGAGTAAGCAGGAAGTGCAATCAAGCAGCTTTCAAAATGTGCAACAAATTACAGAGACAACTGGCTACCTGGGCAATCATGCAAAGTCTCATTTGCAATGTTGAAGGGACTAACTTTTGCTAAGACCTAGATTAACTGACAGATCATTTTCAGAGGTAGGGAATTTTTCAAAACCATTTTACCCTTTCTTGGCAAGATTTAACAGATTTGCTTATCCATTTTCAGATACTATGTATCTTGTCAGTGGTTGAGGCGTGAGCATGTCTTTGCTCAAAAGAGTTTTGCCAAGAAAAAAACAAGCTCCTAATGGAGTGTTTTCAGTGCTCAACTTTCTCTGGGGAAGAGATCAATGCTACCAGGAGCAATAGTGCCTCACTTCAACAGAACCCTAAGTTATTTATATGCCATATTCTACAGTTCTTTGAAGTGGTTGAAGCTTACCTATCTATGCAGAATATAATCTCTGTTTATGTAAAGAACCTGATTATTTTAACTATAAGTATGACAAACATAGATGACTATTGATCTATAATTCTTTTTTTAAGTGGGAGATCTTTTTTTAAATATTTATTTATTTACTTACTATGTATACAATATTCTGTTTGTGTGTATGCCTGCAGGCCCGAAGAGGGCACCAGACCTCATTACAGATGGTTGTGAGCCACCATGTGGTTGCTGGGAATTGAACTCAGGACCTTTGGATGAGGAGGCAATGCTCTTAACCACTGAGCCATCTCTCCAGCCCTGATCTATAATTCTTAATACCTATATAACTTAAAGACTAAGACTTCATATTAGAATATTATACAATAACCAACTTGCAACAAATGAGGACAATGACCTCAAAATATAAACAATGTATAACTATCTTGATCAGTGGTAGAAATGTACATTGCAATATGATAAATATATATCAATATATAAAATGTTTTAAGCAGAGGTAGAAGCATGAATGCATACAATATTCAATATAGTTTAATATTATATCAATATACAAGAATCTATACCAATGCAATTGCCTATAAATTATAACTCACAAGCATTCACTCTATTACTCACTATTATTAGTGTGTAAGCTCACACTAATCTATTATTCCATCCAATTTTCCCATTTTTTCCAAAGAGATCCCTGAGCCTATAAACTTTCCCCTCCAACCTGCAATCCTATACCAAATATAATCAACCCCTAAATGATATTCTTAACCCTGAGGACAAACTTTGTTGGGAGAGGGGATGTAGTCTTTTAGAATTACTTCCAGCTGTCAAGGGGGCGATGTTCTTTCTATGGGATCCTGTGAAAGTAAAATGATGGTTAAGTTCAAAGATTACTGTCTAGTATAATTGCAAATAGCCTCTGAGTATTTGGTAAGGTTTTTCTGAGCTTCCTATTTGGAGGTCTGTCCAGAACATTGTAAAAAGTGCACCATTTCAGCTAACCAAGTTGGAACCATCTTGAGCAGCTGGTACTCAAAACAGATCTTGTAGTAGTGTTATCATCATCATGATGTATAATATCAACCAGATTGAGTTGTTGTTGTGGGGCCCCAAATTCTTCCTGGAAACATCAAAATTAATGCAGGAAAATTCATTGTTCATTGTGGAAAACTAAAACATTATTTATATAGACATATACAGACATAAATATTCAATGGCATGTACAATAGAGACAAAAATAGATATGAAGAAAAATAAAAAAATTTCTAAATTCTTATTTCTTTCTGTCCCATGCTCCTGACATGAGACAGAAACTCTGAAATTTTATTTTAATAACATGTTTGGTTTTATAGAGGGACATAGCCAGATTCCACCTCTATATACTCATAAATATACATCCACCTAAAAAAACCACCCGACAAAATGACAGGATAAAAGTGTAGATTACTGAATCTGCTCTAAAAAGAATAAAGGGGGATACATACATATGATGAGATAAAAGAGTAGATCTTTAAAATTAAGTTTAAAAAGTAACTACTTATTTATATATTTTTACATTGATATAGATATGTATGCTTCCTTTTGATACTAATTTGGCATTATTTTTGTTAAAACATACTGTCTATGATGTTATATTTTTACTCAAGATACTTTACCTAATACAACTCATTTAAACATGTAATGAAAATTTCTAGTCCTTGAAAGTTATTATTATAAACAAATAAGGATATAAAGTACTGCACATTAGTAGTTTGTTACTTATTACAATTGAAAATATACTCAAGTTAGGTATGTTTTCAACATTATTCAGAATTATATTAGATGATTCAAATGTACATACTTTAGAGTAAATATTTGCAGAAGTAAAGCAAACTTTGTCTCTTTGGGGATTAAAAATTACTTCTGAAAATATACAAAAAGGAGATTCTATTAATTATTCAGCATATAAAATAATTTTACAAAAGTTTTACCCCAAAAGTTAAAAATTAGGAGATATTATTTGTGGAATCTTAATAATTTTCAGAAATTGCTGCAAGACATTGACCATCTATATCCCACTGTTGGAGTAAAAAAAATTCAAAACAGTAATTAGAACCAAATCATAAAATGTGACAAGTATTTAAATAGTCAAAGAGAATTATCATCTAAAGCAGAGAAAAAAATTGGTTTAGTGGAAATAAAATTATAGGAGGTACATACAGATTGTTTGGGTCTGAAGTTTGTTTACATTCAAGACATTTTTTTTGATAAAGGCTTTGTCTTTAGCTTTGGAATGTGTATTGGTACTAGCTCTTGTAGACCAGGCTGGCCTTAAGCTCCACCTGCCTCTGCCTCCCAAGAGCTGGGATTAAAGGAATGAGCCACCATTTCATGGTCTTCATTCTAGACATTTTATGCTCCATCCATTCCCCTGTAGGAATTTTACCGCAGAGGAAAGATATTATCTTAAAATTGATATTTTTACCATATAAACAGACTAAAAGCTATAAAGTTATGTGGAACATATCTGAGTTGATTTTAAAAAGAAAATTGAAACTTCATCTATTAG